CAGTTGTGGGGTTTCCTGGAGCTCAGCTTGGCCCTCTGCTCCAGGCAGGCTGTGTGCCCCACACTGCTATGAGGAGCTACAGAGCAAGCTCTTCTGCGCTGCCACAGGGGTCTTGTGTGGGCGAGGTGGGGGCCCGAGCCTTCAGAACCACCTGAAGAGGCCAGGAAGGTGGTGCTCCATGAGGAAAAGTGAGAAGGCAGGCAGGGAGCGGGGAGGGGAGGACGAAGAGGGTGTCACTGGCTGACGCTGCATAACTGTGGGAAAACCACGCACCCTCCCTGTGGCCAGGGTGAGGACTCTCCCAGGGCCATGAAGGGCTGCATGTGCCCTGCACACCACAGACCCGGGATGGGAGTAGGTGGGGCAGGCATGGGGATGTGCAGGTTATGCCTACACCTGGGGCCTGTGACTCAAGACAGACGAAGCCCTCTAGGAGCCCCTGGCACCTTGGTCTACCTCAGAGATTCTGCGCTGCCAGTGACACTGCTACCCTGCCCTGCTTTTATCGGGGGGTTGAGCCTGCTGACCCTCCTGGGTACTGGCTACTTTCACAGCCGTCACTGCTTGCACCTGGCCTGCTTCTGGTGTCCCCAAGGAGGCCGAAGTCTCTGTTCAGAGATAGCAGCTTCCTGTCTCTCATGCCAGTGCCCCTGCCCAGGCCTGAGCCCATCCAGTGCCCAGGGATGTCTGGCCGGGGGCGTCCTCTTGGGATTGGGTCAGCCTTGGAACTACTGAGCTAGTCAGATCCTAGAGATGGAGAGCTGCATGGGCATGCTGAGGCCATTTTGTCCCTTAACCTGACCTCACAGCCACATCCTGCTCAGCTCTGTGTGACACAGCTGGCTGTTTGCTGAGAGAGGGGAGAGGCAGGTGAGAAGTCTCCTTGAGCCCAGAGCTCAGCCTGCTTCTGCGTCCCTCCCTAGGTGGTAGCATACAGGAAGGGCTTTCTGCCCCCCTGGGGACACCTTTGGACGGGTCTCGTGGACACTTAGCCTCCTCTTCCCCAGCCTCACCCTTGTGCTCCAGCAATGAGATGAGCAGACTCTGGTATAATGCACAAGGAAGGTTCTGGAACCAAATTACCTGGGTTAGACTCTCTGCTATCTGCTGGAAGACTTCAGGAAAGTTTGGTGTCCGTTTCTTCATGAAGTGGGCCAAGAATACCCATTTCAGGAGATTGTTGTGAGGGTTAGACTTCAAAATGCTCAGAACTGGCAGCTCAGTGCCCAATACACATGAGCCATTACTGCTGCAAACCGGTGCTGTGGGGAGACCAAAGTAGGCACATAGCTGAAGCCAGCAGAGCCTCAGGTGGGCTCTGTGCTAGAGCTTCTCCAGTGCCGCCTTAGGGCTGCTGTGGGATTAGCACTTGGATCTTTTATTTCTCATTCTCACTTTTTGAAAAAATGAGACTATTGTACTTTTAGAATCAGAAAATTGAAACAGTATGGGAAGGCATAAAATAATAAGAAAAACCTTCTTCTACCCCTTTGCCATATTTCCCGTCTCTTACAAGGGCCTCAAAAATGCAGATGCCTCAGCCTGACCCTCTAGGAATTTTGATTGAGTGGACCAGGTGAGGATCTGGGCTTCTGCATGGTGCCCACTGCCTTAGAAGATGCTCATCCTCTGAGATTATTTGGGCTCTGAGAGAAGGAAATTGTGATGGGGGTGACCCAAAGTCCCTAAGTGTCCAGGGTATTTGCCGTAGTGGCTGTGACAATGACAGTCACAGCAGTGGTGTGCCAGGCCTCCCCTCTCTACACACCCTTGCCCACACTTGGTATTTCTTTTCTTTCTTCTCAGCGCTGGATATCAAACCCAGCGCCTCCCTCACGCTAGGCGAGAGCTCTGCTGCTGAGCTACACCACAGCTGTGTCGCTCGTGTTTTTCGTAGTGGCCATCCAAACAGGTGTGAGAGGACACAGCTCGCTGTGGGTTTATTTTCATCTCCCTAGTGAGTACAGATATCCCATGTCTTCTCACATCTCTTGTGGCCATTCCTGTGTCCTCTTTGGAGACGTGTCTGCTCAGGTGCTCTGTCCATTTTTAATGGGATTATTTGTTCTTTGGCAGTTGTGTTGTAGGAGTGCCTTAACATTATGAATATGAATTTTTTACCTAATATATGATTTGCTAATATTTTTCCATTTGGTTGTGTCTTTTGCGAGGTTGGTGCTTTTAAAAGTTTGCTATAATCCCGCCTGTTCAAAATTCTGTGTCAAGACCAGTACTACAAAGCTTTCCTCACGCTTTCTTCTGGGTGTTGAAGAGTTTGAGGTCCTGTGTTTAAGTCGTGATCATTTTGAGATGCTGTGTATAGTTTCAGGTGGGTTTCCCCAGGGCTGTCAGCCCCTTCCTGCTCCCGTGAACATGTTCTTTCTCTTGATGTGGAACAGGCTATTTTCAAAATGATCAACCCTGAGGACGTGAAGCACCTTCCGGACGATGAAAACACGCCGGAGAAGCGGGCCGAGAAGATCTGGGCGTTCTTTGGAAAGAAAGACGAAGGTGAATGCTTTTGCCTTCATTGCCGTTCATTTTATAGTCTTGGGCGGTTTCCTAGAGACCTCCAGACTGACTCTTCTGAGGCACAGCACCGAGGCAGGACCCAGGACACTCCCTGTCGTCAGCAGGGCTGAGGTGGGAGTGGCCGGAAGGGCAGCAGGGGCCAGGTCTGCTGCCACTCTGGAGCTGGCACGCAAGAAGGTGATGCCACCACAGGCCTGTCACCTAAAAGAACTCTTTTGATACCTGGAGCTCCTTGAGAAAGAAGGGAACTTCTAAATTGTGGAGTTCTTTGGAAGAAAAACACCTTTTGTTGTAATAGAGTTAACCTACACTGAAGGGATAGCAGAATGTGAAAGCAGTTAAGCTCATTGGCTATTTGTACCCAAATGACCTGTTCAGGGAACTTGCAAATGCATTTCTTTTTAACTGGAGAATCTGTTCTTAGACAGTTCTGACTTGCTTGTCTTTAAAAATGCTTTCTGCTCACTTGGAACAGGAACAAACAGCAGCTCAGTTTAGCCTTGAATTAGCATCAATCCACCTAAGTGGGATCTAAATTTATCCCCTCTCACTCTAGGAATTTAATTTGGATTCTCCAAGCAGCACCACCAAGTGGAGATTTGATGTAAATCAGAGTGCTAGGGGTTTATTGGGAGGAGAGCCAAAGAGGGAGATGGGGAGGGAGCTAGAGGAGGCTAGGAAAGCCACAGAACTGCCTTGGGTTCTACTCTTGTCAAGGAGAGAGGATCATGAACTGCAGTGTTTTTTAAAGAAAGTATTGGCTGGGTGATGGGGCATCCCCAGTGGGCTGTTGAGGTGTCCCTGTCCTTCTCTATAATTGTCTGGAAGCAGCCCCTGGGAAGCGTGGTCTTGCAGTGAAAACAGTGCTGAGTTCTGGAAGTTGACAGCCAGAGCTGGTACTCCACATGCTCATGGCTGTAAATGGAAGGGTATGGAAGAGGAACTTATCAGGCAGGAGCTAAAACGCCCAGGCCACAGGGACCTGTATGTCAGAGTCAGTGAAATGGGCAGTAACTCCCCTGAATGATGGGAACTAAAAAATAGTAGGGAGTAGCTGGCTGGCTGATCCGATAGCTCCAAGGATGTCCCACTTGGGACTACGAAGACAGTTGATGCAGTCTAATCTGACTTTTGTTTAGCAAAGCATTGGACATTAATTAAGATGTGCAAATCCTGATATGTCTCAATTAATAATGCTTGTCTGGGCCCCAGCACATCTGACAGGCTAATACTGGCCCCTTTGGCGACCTATGGGGTATTCCTTTTCCAGGGCCCTGAGCAGGATGCTAAATAGAGTAGGCCAAGGTGATCTGTTCCTACCACTCCACATAGCCAGCTGCCAGGCAGATAATGAAGTCATAGAACTTCACCTATGGCAGGCAGGGTGAGGCAAGTGGGTGCCTGGGCCATCGCACATAAGGAGGCACTAACTCTCAGGGGCTGGCTCTATGCTCTCAAGACCGAGCAGCGAGCACCTCTTAAGGTCTGTGCCCAGGCACTTCCATGGCTTGGCCTTGGGCCCAGCACCTCTCCTTTGAGCACTTTCTCCTGTCAGTCTACAGAAACTCACCCTGGCTGCTTAGCCACTTTCCTGTGACTTCACTTTAACCAGTGGCTTTTTAGGCACTGTAACCCCCTTCATAACCTTCCTCTAAGTCTGTTGACTTCTCTGTTGTGGTTCTGTTATTTACTAGTCTGAAAACCAACCAATGTGATCCCTGCAGGGGACGGTGGTTATTAGAGGGCTGCAGGGTGACATGTTGTGCTGTATCAGCAGTCAGACTTCGGTGGTGGGAGTTTCAAGCCACGTGAAGGCAGGTGGGGCCATCGGAACTCTGTCATCCAAATTCCACTGCTTAGGCTTGTGGGGGGGGGCAACTGTCCCCCACCCTAACCCACAAATGAATTAGGGATGCAAAAAAGGCCAGGGCATCAGCCAGTGGAAATCAAAGTCAGGTCAGCAGTGCTGCTTGGAGCATTATTGTGTGCTAGGCACTACAAGCATAAAACATGGACAGAAAGGAGGACCTTCTGTCTCATTCTACAGCTATTTCTCTAGAGGTTGTCCTCCCCACCAGATCAAGACTACCCTAGGAAGGGACTTGAACTCATTCTTCTGTACCACACTCCACCCTCTGCTCCTTATAGAGGCCCCAGCCCCAAGCCCAGGGCATCTGGCATGCAGAAGACCCCAAGAACAAGCACTTAGCTGGGCTGAACCTAACACAGTAGACAGCCAGTGCAAACACTGGGAAGCTGGGCCCAGCAGAGGAGCAGAGCCCTCAGCCCTGATCCTGAAGAAGAGGGGAGCTCAGATCAGAGGGATGAGGCTGGATGCAAGGAAATTGCTAGTTTCTGAGACTCATGAGACTGCCTGTGTACTGTGGGACCCAAAGAGACTTTTCTGCAAGCCAGGCTCTCCCTGGCTTCCTCACCCTCTCCTTTCACTCTCTGCTCCCTAGGAAACCATAGTTGCCAGCTTCTCCACAGATAGTGAGCCTGCAAGACAGGTCATTTTGCTCTGTTCAGCTGTAGTAGGCCTCCACAGAACTTGAGGGATGAGACTTGGAGTGATATTAAGAATATAGTAAGAGAAATAGTTATTATTACTACTTATTTAAGTATTTAATAACCAGCAAAGCAAGGACACTGGCCAATCAGAAGGGACACAGACCCCAAAGTGGTCATCTTGGAGATCTCTGCAGTCCTAGTCACTGCTGTTGTGTTGCTGATGCAAAGGGAGGGCCAAGGGTCAGGAGGAGGAGCTCAGTGTCAGGCAGGCGGGGTGGAGGGTGCCCCGTGGGGGTGGAGCACTGCGTGGTCAGTATTTTCACAATCGATGCAGTCGTGCTGGGCACACTGGCTGGACATCAGCCTTGCTGTGGCTTGAAGTAGCAGGTCCTGACTGATGTGTTTTCCCCATGTACAGATAAACTTTCAGAGGAAGAATTCATTGAGGGGACCCTGGCCAATAAGGAAATTCTGCGACTGATCCAGTTTGAGCCTCAAAAAGTGAAGGAAAAGATAAAAGAAAAGAAACAGTGATGCCAACTGCTCAGCTCTTCCCTCCCTCTCACTGCCCCACTTCCGTATCTTTGCACGTACACACGTACCCCACACACACACACACACACGCACTCACACGCAAACGTACCCTATGCACACATACACATGCACTCACACACACGTATACACTATGCACATGCACACATGCACACCCAGGGCCAAGGGAGAAGCCTTCAGACTTCCAGCCAGACTACAGCATCTTTATCAGTCCACCAGCCCCTTCTTCTTTCTATCTTTCCTGTCTCTCCTGTCGTATCCCTCCTGCCTTTCCTCCCCTCCCCTTCTGCATGGTAATCCCAGGATTAAATGACCAGAGTCCTAAATGTTAGCCCTGCCTAAGCTCCTTTGTGAATTGCTGAGTAAGTGGATTCCAATAAATTCAAGAGGAACTGGACACACAGCTGTCTGGTCTTTCTCCCTGTGGAAAAGGGAACAGTTTCTGCCAACTCTACCTTAAAGAAAACAACACATTGAGATTGCAGTCTTTAGCCAAGGAGGGTACTGAAGGAGACTGTCATAGCCTTGCCCTCATGGAGCCCCTGATTCAGAGGGGACAACGGATCTGGAAGATGCCAATAGGTTTCCATCAAGACACACAGAATACTAGGGTTGACCCATCAGGGAGGATGAGGGATGACATTCCCTGACACACATTCAGACCCAGTGGACTGTGTGAGGTGAGGGACCTTGTGCCTCAGAATGTGGTACCCTGAGCCGCTGAGGCAGGAACGAGCATCTGTGGCGCCAGGATTGTTGGCAGCTCAGGGAGGCTGGGGTCAGAGGGAGGAGAAAAGAAGTGCAGGCTGAGCCAGAAGGGTAAATGGGACCAGGTCCCCAGAAGCCTCCCCAGAGCTTGTGGTGAGTACTGGACATTGCCGTGGGGGTAGAAAGGAAATTGCGCAGTTTGGAGTAGGAGGGATTTCTATCTATAAAAGCAGAGGCCAAGAGTGGGAGCAGCAAGGCCCAGGAAACACATGGGAAGGGGAAGACAGGACCCCATAATGACACCCAGAAGAGGTAGTATCTGTCTGATTGGCCGCAGGCACTGGAGGAAAGAGGAGCAAGGGTGACAGCCAGGATGTGACTTGAGCGCTGTGCGCACAGTGACATCATCTACTGCGCTGGGAAAGCCAGGGAGCATTACCGATCTCAGCAGATAATGAGGCGTGGTGAAGCCTGAGCTATAGAGCTCCTTGAGGGCCCTCACTGTAGAGATGAGGAACAGAAGCAGAGACTCAGCATCAGGAAACAGTTTGCTGGGGTGAGTCAGCTGATAAGCACAGGCCAAGCGGGTACCCCCCACTAGCCCACACTGCCTCCTCAGAGCTCCAGAGCCTGACATGTAGGCATTCATGAGAGGCTTCTCCAACTTCATTGCACTCATTGCCTAGAAGGCCCATTTATTTTCCAGCCTGTGTTTTAACATGAGTTTTAAGAAATATACTGGAGCTCTGGACTACTGACTAACCTGTATCCAATGTCCTGTGCTGAAGAGTCCCTGTGGGTGTTGGGAGGTTGGTAATGACCCCATATCTCAAGATCTAGTCATGGTGGTGGCTCAGTCAACATCCCCAGAGAAGAGTCCTCTTGGTGGAGAGAACAAGAGAATGAACAGTTGGGTATGACGCATTAAAGACCACAGGCAGAGTTTTGTAGAGGGAGGTCATTATCATGACCCTCAGGCAGATTCTTTCTTTGCTGGCAAGATATTCACCAGCCAATCCAGGTTGACTTCTTTATGATCCCAGTTTCAGTAGAAATGAGACAATCTCATTCTGATAAGTGTTCTTCCAAAGTCCCAGGATGTACTTACAAATATAAGTACTTCTAAGCCCTACATCTTCCACTGCAGTCATGGCTAAGGGGTTCCTGAGGAGCCCAAGGTGTGTACTTCTATGATGGGGTACCCTCTAGGTTAGCCTATGTAAAATGGCCCCCATGGGGAGAAATATGTGTTGTGGAACTAGCTTTCATCACTGATTTCTGGGCAAACGCTCTAGATTTGTCTTCAACTTCTCTTCTCTTACCAGGCTTGGGCACTGTCCATGGAGTCAGCGGGCAACAGGAACCATGCCGCTGCCACTCACCCCATTCCCTGGCTAGACAGACATAGCAGACAAGCCCAGGTAGATCTGCGTCTCAGAACAGCAACCCTTAAAAACCGCAAAATGGGACCGATCAAACCTACACAATTACTTAGAGTTGTGAGGCTCTGCTGAGGGTGTTTCTATGGCAGAATTAAGTTTTAAGTGCTGCGCAGGTGGAAGGATTAATTTGGACTTCAGCAAGGTATCTTACGTTTTCAGAGAAGGATTCATCTCCCTCGCCTTTGGCTTATCCAGTGTTAATCTTGATCACATATTAAAATTGCCCAGGTGACCTTAACACAAAAAGCAGAGGTAATGAACACCTTAGCTAAACGAGACTTCCTCAGACTTTTAAACTTTTGTACATTAGAGGGCACTATCAGGAGAGTACAGAAATACTCCAACGACAGAAAATACCCGTCATTCTTGTCAAATATTTGTCAGTACATCAAATGATGTACTGTATCTGATAGGGGATTTACATCCTGAATATATAATGAGCCCCTTCAACTCAACAACCACCAGAAAAAAAAAATCCATTGTTTTTTGAGACAGGGTCTTATTGTGTAGTCCAGGCTGGCCTTGAACTCACTATATGGCCAGGTTGGCCTCGAACTCACAGCAATCCTCCTGCCTCAGCCTCCTGAGTGCTCGGATTACAGGTGTATGCCATTGCACATGGCTAAAAATTCAATTTTTAAAGTGAGCGAATACATGAATAGACATTTTTCTTTAAAAAGATATAAAAATTAATAGCAGGCTCATAAAAGATACTCAGGATCTTTACTTATAAAGGAAATGCAAGTCAAAACCACAGCCATTCAGATGTTTACGATTTTTTAAAAGGGAGGCACCTGCCTTTGGTCCTCTGACCTCTGCTTCTCATCCCTTCCCCTTCCGTCCACTCTCCTGGTTCCTAAAACAATGGACCGTCTGGTCACCAGCTAAAGCCACACCACTTCTGTTCAGACACAGTGCACCAGATTCTCTAGGCAGGTGAGAGACTCTCAGCCCCAGTGGGAGACAAACGCAAAAGAATGGACAAAATGCAAATCAACTTTCATAAACTTGTTTTAATCATTATTAGGGTGAGAGCAAGCAGTGGGTGAGCCATCCCATCTGTAGACGGAGGTGGGATAATATATTTATAAGTACTTCAAAAAAATAAAGTTTCTCCTCCTCATGGGAGTGTCCTTGATAACTTTCTGATGGCACCTGATGCTCCCTAGAGAACTTCCGGTCCCACCTCCCTGGATGGCTGTGTCCCAGATGCCTACTGTAGCCCTTGGTGCTGGGAGCAGGAGATGGCCCCAGCTTCCCAGGAGCGACCAACTGATGGCCAACGGAGGGATATTTTCAGAAAAGAAGAAAAGTAGCATGACATGTATTTTAATACATATTCTGGACTCCAAAATGAAAACTGCTTCATTATGCCCTTGCCTGGTATCTTGGCTTCTGTATCCACACTGCAAGCCAGGGGTGGGGAACAGTGCAAAATGCAAGGGGACAGCAAAAAGCTTCATAGTTGAGATAGATAACACTTGAGTGCAATAATTTAAAAAAGCAAAGTTAGTGTCACAAAGTTCTTGATGAACAAAATCTTAATATTTCAGATAGACTCAGGGTCAGAGCCTGGCTTGCACGAGCCGGCTTTGGCCTCACACTCACAGCAACCCTGGCGCCGACGAAACCATATTTTTGTATGCCTCAGGGGCTGTAGCTTGTGGATTTGACTGGTTGAATGTTACAGTAAAGTACAGTTTATTCCGGTCACCGAGGCTCTTCGAGGTGAGTGTTGCAACTGTCTCAAGATTATCTCAGTCCCGCTATAAAGTATCCTTGAAAACAGAGTTGCCAGATAAAAGGGTGCATCATTAAATTCAAACCTCAGATGTAGTCAAACCCCATGGGGACACACTTACACAGAGGATGTCTCTCCATATCCAGCTCAGTTTTTGCTTTTGTTTCTTTTTCTGAATCTAGCAGGTCCTCGTGAAAAGTCTCATGGTCTCCTACTCCCACACACCAGATCCAATAGCACTGATTTCCGTAGCAACATGCCTCACCCCTCACACGTACATTTTACACATGATGAAAAAGGCACTCCTAGATGTGAACACAGCACTGCCATGGCCTGCTCCTACCTCCATCTTTCTTCAGGCTCTTGCTGTGGGGCTCAGCCATGGCACCTGCTCTCTACTGCCTGCTCCTCCCCAACCTCCCTAGGTCAGATTCAGGTACGCAGCTGGTATTTCCCACAGGCAAGACAGGTCCCACAGGCCCAGCTGACATGAAGTCTTGAGCATCCTCATGTCAGAGTCCTATTGCTTTATCTGGGTACTTTCTGTCTTTCAGGGATACTCCATGGTATCCACCTGGAGGGTACAGCTCTCACCAGCAGGGCCTGAGGTCAGGGAGAGTAGTGGATATGCAGCCAGAGTAGAAGGCCTGGCCATCAGCTTATCAACTGCAAACTAAGTAGAGAGGGTTTCTCCCAGCCCTGAGGGATGTAGGACAAGTGTGGTCTTTTATTGTTAAAACACATATTTTATGTCTCAAAAAAAAAAAAAAAAAAGTCGGGCTTGTAGAAGCCAAGCTTGAAAAGGCAGGCAGAACCATAAAGGAGAGAGGGGACCAATGATGACATTCAGAAGGTTCCCGAGAGCTTGAGACAATTGTCCAAGGAAGGGTTGGGACAGCTCAAACAAAATGTCTGCTGGCCACAGATAGAGAACTGAGATGCAGAGAAGAAGGCAAGACTCAACCGATGAGGAAAAGAGAAGCAACGAAGGAGCAGGATCTGGTGGGTGACATGGGGGTCACACATTGTCCAAGGAGGCAGGCGTACTTCAGCCTGCAGTGGGCTATGTCAGCAAAATGTCCCCTCACACCCTGTGCAAGGTTTTACAAGGGTGGGCCTACTTCAGAATTCCTGAGAGGCTTGTTAGACAGTTCCTGTTTCTAGCTGTCGTCCCAAATTCACTCTTTTAGAGTTTCCACCAAGAGCCTGACATTCTGCATTTTGTAGGGAGATCTCTGCACCCTAAACCCAATTTTCAAAAGAAACTGTGTGTCAGGAGAGGGGAAGCAAGAGATACTGGCTAGACTCTAGTCACTAAGAGGCTTCTCTGCACCTGGGGCTGAATTCACTTTAAGTTAAGATCAAATTCCCCAGCTTGGGATCATTCTGGAAAACACACTGGTGGGGGTGACACAGGGCAGGCAGAAGCTGTGAGCACCACGTGGCTTCATTCATGGAGCTTGAAGGACCTGCACTCAGACCCCACATCCAAGTGGGCATGGGAGATGGAAAAGGAAAATTCTGTACTCAGTCGCATCCGTTCTGCTTTGCCTCCTGTGTCCTTGTGCTTCTCAGGAGTCCCCAGGTTTTCACAGCAGGCGTGGAGTCCTCCTTCTTAGATCTCACTCTCCTCCAGAATCTCCTCCATGGTATTGGCCAGGGTGAAGTCCCCCTCACTGCTCTCAGACAAGCTGATGCTCCGAGGCCAGGCTGTGTGGCCCTGGCAAGGCCGGGTGTCCAGCTCCCCTAGGCCCTGAGAGGACAGGTGTGAGCTGCCTGGTGAAACCTGGAGCTTGTGAGTTGTCCGGGTGCCGCCTCCATCCGAGAGCTTCTTGGGACACTTCCCCAGGAACCGGAAATTCTTCCTCAGGACACAGGCTCTGCAGCCTGAGCATCGGGGGAGCAAGAAGCGGACCCAGGACTTCCGCAGCTCAGCCTTCACCTGCCAAGGGAGACAGAGGTGGGTTTATCATCTCGGAGAGTCTATTATTCATGTGTCCATCCAGCAAATGTTTATTGAGTAACTATATGGTGCCACCCTTGGGAAATTTACCTTTTAACAGGTCAGAAAAAGAGAAGCAAATAAAGACACTGGAGTGCATCAGCTACACTGTGAGACCACCACCAGAAACATTGAGGCAAGGAGTGCTGAACATTATAGGAGGTACAATTTCAGACCAAGATCCTACAAGCAGCCCCACAGACTAGGCTGAAAGTCTGAATGGAGCCACCATTTAGTCCCTACTAATGTTCCACCTTATCAGACCAAAACTCCCTGACCTTCCAAGAAATCAGAAGGCAGAGCTGATAGCCTATTTTTCCCAAGAGACCAGTTCCAATGAGGCCTAGAAATGAGGTTCCCTCTTCCTTAACCTTTATACAGAATGGGAACCCATATAACTGATCTGTTATTATTCTATCCTGCCTCCTTGCCCCTTTGAGGTGTTGTCTGATTTTTGTCCTTTTATTTCTCCTTTCTTCAGTCTCTATAAAATGAACCCTCACTACTCAGCACATTGGAATACTCATTCTGTTTGATAGAATGAAATTTTGACTGATCCTAGAACTGCAAAAAAAGCCAATTAAGTGCTTCAAAATAAATGATGATAAGTTTTGTTTTTTGCACAGGTGAGCAAAAAATTGTGATACATCACTCAAGAAAGGACCCTGTGGGGGAATGTTTGAGCTGACGCCTGCCTGGCAGATGAGGAACCCATGCATGAAGACACAGAAGCAGAAGCAGTGAGAAAGCTGAAGAGGGCTTTGCTGCCAAGAAGCCGTTCCAGGAGGAGACAGAAATGAATTAGTAAATCTGAGTGGAACGAAGGCAGGCAAAAGAGGGCTGGAAGCTCCTGAGTCATAAAGACAGGAGAAAACCCCTCTTCTGGCTTCTGCCCCTCCTTTCTTCATACCTTTGGGATATGAAGTTGCTGTGTTTGGATCTTGCGTGACCCTAGAAGCCCATATGATAAAGGCTTGGCTCCCAGCCTGTGGTATGGGGAGGGGGTAGAAAGCTTAAGAGGCGGGTCCTAGTGGGTGGAAGTCAGGCTATGGGGTGGTAGGAGGGCCCTGCAGGGCATACTGGAGATGCCTCCCCTCTCTCACTGTGCAGTGTGCAACTTGGTTGTACCACACGCTCCACACATACCACATGCCCCAATAGCAGTGGGGACCCAGTAACCATGGCCTGACATCTCTGCAGCCAGGAGCCAAAACAAACTGTTCTGTTGCTTATCTCAGATATATATATATATATATATATATATATATATATATATATATATATATATAATTTGGTATAGGATCTCACTGCACAGCTCAGATTCACAGTAATTCTCCCATTTTCAGCCTTCCCAGGGCTGGGATTACATGTGTGTGTCACCATACCCAGTCTCGGTGGCCAGCTCAATGGGCCCAAGGGCAGGGTGGGTGCAGCATGTGGTGCTGGGGATTGAACCCTGGTCCTTGCGCTTGCCTAAGTGGGTGCTTAGTCTGCTGAGCTATCTCTCTGGCCCTTCAGATATTTTTTATAACAAAAAAGGTTGAGTAACACACTAATTGAAACTATGCAAGCTATTTAATAAAATATAATAAATAATAAAAGTCATGGTGCCTAGATACTGAACTTTTATTACGTGCTCAGATGCCCAGGGTACCACCATCAGTTAGGGACTGGTATTATTTCTATTTTATAACCGAGGAAACTGAGGCTAAGTAAGGCCCCATGACCTGACTGATTCACAGGCTCCTGTGCAGAGGCTCCAAGGCTTGAACAGAGTCCTGGACCCCAGAGTTCAGCCTGCTCCCTCTGTCATAATTTAATCCTCTCAGGTCTCCCACAAGGCCAGACTTCTGGGGTTCTGAATTCCCCTGTGTCCACCCCCTTTATCAAGGCTGCCTCCTGTTCTCTCTTCTACACACTCACAGTACAAATATGTCTCAGCATAAGCAGAAACCTCTGGGGACAGGACTCCAGCCACAGCCTCAGAGGAAGCCAGAAAGGTCACATAGAAAACATACCTCTCCATTGGCAAAGCCATACTGCAAGGCCACGAGGAATCCCTGGAATGAAAGGAAGACATGACATGAACTGTACCCTGAGGGAGGGTGAGTCTGAGAGCTCCCAGCGAGCCCACGGAACCTCAAGAAGACGTGTGCAACTACACTCCGTACGTGGAGCAGAATTAATCATACTGCTAAGGCTAAGTTAGCCTTCCGTGGCAGCTCTTCTTATCTTGACATCCACTGCCTGTATCAGCCTGGCTGCTTGCTTAGGTGCTCACGAATGCCTGTGCAGGCGTGGTCATGATCACACCCGAAGAGCCCACACCCTTCATTTAGTTATGCAAGTAATGGACAAGGCCACTAGCTCGTTTCCACTTGTTCCTGGTGGCCATTGGCTAGCTTATGTTGTCCAACTTGCATTCTTTCCTTTTGGAAAATGACTCTCCTCACTTGCTTGGGCTTCTAACACAGCTTTCAATTACGTGGCTCTAGTGTTCTAGGATGGCCAGCACTACAATAATGGCCTGATGAGGGCTGTGACCCAAGCAAGGCCAATCAGCAATTTTTTTCCCCACAGGGAAAGGACAGAGGTTACACAGGCCTACTCTGGCCAGCTGTACAGATCATGTAATCCCAGAGACACTGCTGCCATTTTCTCAGCTACATGCAGAGAGCCCACCTGAAAGTGAAGCCAAAACAGAGGGCAGAGATGGTAAGAGACAGATTCCTAATACTATTGTTCATATCCAGCTGTGTCTGGTCCAACACATTTCATTTGTGTGACATAATAAATACTCTTTTCTCTCCTCAGAATATTTCTTTTGGAGAGATAGATTATTTCCCATCCATGGTCTCCCATTACCTTTAGAATAAAATAAACTCTCTTATCCATGAAAAGTCCTGGGTGACATAGGCTCTGCCTTTGTGTTGTACGTTTCATCTCATGTTCTGCTTCCCCAGCCACTATATTTCTACTACATGGGCCCGCTGCACTCCCCTGACATGTTAACTTCATGTAACGGGGATCCACTGTTGTTTAACTTAGTGAATTAAACAATGAAGTTCTAGCATCTCATAGATGTCCTACTGCCAAGGTCCTGGAAGAGGCTTAGCTGGATGTCCTGACTAAAGGTCACTCTTGAGTTGCAATCAGTGGTGGTTGGAACTGCAATTGTCTACAGGCTGGACTTGCTTCCAAAGTGGCCCATGTGATAGGTAGTAGTTGTTCTGACCATAGTATCTTAAGCAAGTTCAGCATTACCACTTTTAAAAACCAGTGCACATGTATACCGGACATCTCAGTTCCAAGGTCAAGCAGTAGCAGACCTATAAATAAAGAGGTAGGATTTCCCCCTCACATCATAGTAATTATTAATTAGTGTGCAAACAACCTTGCAGAATATGTTCTACTCTTCTGGGTTTCAGAATCAGAACTATTTGTGGTCAGCTTCCCTCTATTCTCATTCAGCTGGATGATGCTGGGTAAGTAGGGTATGGTTACTGGTGGGAGATCATGGTCTCTCTCCAGAGATTTCTTGAGTGCCTTCCTGACTTGGAAGCTGTCCTCCCCCAGAGGAGGAGATTCAAGATAGCAAGGCATAAACTGAAATCCATTTCATTCCTTAGCAAGGTAGTCACAATATCCTAACAGCAATGCAAGCCAACCCCACGCATGTGGGAGGGGCTAACCAAGGGCAAGGATGCCACTGAGAGCCCTGTCGGAGGCTACCACAGCCCCCTCTCCCCAAAACCTCTTCCTGCGGTCTGTTTTCCAGAACTTTCTTGCCTCAAATATCTGTCTAACTGATTTCTTAGCTCAAGTATCACCAAAAACAAGTCTTTTCAGACCATCTAACTTTTGGTAGCTTCTACAGTAATTATCACAGTAATCTATTTTGTTCTTTAAAGCATCAGAAATATGATGGTTATTATCACTTCTTCTTATCCCATCCACACAAGACTATCCTTTCCCAATCTCTTCACTAGCAGATCCCCCGCACCTGAAGCAGTGCCTGGAATGCAATAGGAACACATCAAGTATTTATCGAGTGAGTTAATGAGTTGGGTTTCTGACTCTTAGAATTAAGAGTATTGCCTTGTACAATGTCAAGTTGCTCCCTTTTTTGTTCTCTGCTAAGTTATCTAGAATTGTGTAAACAAGCATTCCACTGAAAAAATTATAAGCCATCCTGAAGTGGCATTTTCATTTACAAAACATTTATGTTGGGAAATTTCAAAACAGAGATAATCTCCTGAATTTGGCATTTTTTTTTTCTACATTCACAATTAACTGCCAGAGGTCTGGAATCAAAGATGCTTTGGCTGATGTTTGTGTCCCACTTGCCTCCTCAGGCTTCTGTGCTTCCTGATTTGTCAAGCAGTTGTCTATGATAATGTCCATTCCTTGGCTTTCCCTAGTAGAACCCAGAGTTCGTGGAATTTGGGCTACATGTCTGATATACTCGGGCTGGTTTTGTATGTGGGACTCAAGTATTTGCAGGGTTTTTAGGGGAAAAAAAATCTCTAAACTCAAAAGGAAAGGACACATCTCCAAATAAAGAGTGACAGAACCACTTTCAGGCTGACTCTTCGTATACCTCTGCAGAATAATGCTGGGGAAGGTTTTGTTCATGTTTTTTTTTTCCGGGGCCAGCCAAGCAGCCTCTGTGCTGGCTGTACATCAATCAAAGGCTTGAGTTGCAGCCATAACTGTGAAATTTCCCTTCTCTTGCACACCTAAATGTTTCCACAGCTCCAGCTTCTAAATGGGGGCAAGGCGGGACCTGTTCATCATTTTCACACATTAGCCCCACCCTGAGTGGTTGTCATGACAAATGACATTGGCTCCTGGCCATTTGATACAAGAAGAGCCAGCTTTCAACATGCCAGAATTCTCTCAATTGAGTTAGCTAGAATAGGATTCCATATGACAAAAGTATCTTTTCGCTTCCTCCAGTTCCTGCTTCAGTTTCAGGAGCATCCTGGAATCAGCTTCCTACTCTAGATAAAGCAAGTGCAAGTGAAGTAGGTCCCTCAGAGCACCCGGCTCTCGCTTCACATGTCTGCAGCACCCAGCAGTCTCTCCACACATCTGCTTACAGCAGGAGACTGGGGAAGCTCAAAGCCAAAAAGCTCTGGCATAGTGAAGGACACTGTAAAGCAGCAAGGGCTGGACAAGAGCTTTTGGGGCTGTTGCCTGTTCTTGCCGGTGGACTCACCAAGCTCCGATCCACCAAATACACCTCCACACACCTCTCTCCCCAGTGTGGTGGGATGGAGTGCAGCACCGCTAAGGTATGCAGAAGCTTGGAGGCTCTGCCCCACCCCCAGTGCCTGCAAGTGTGGTTTCCGGTTTCATCCTGGTGCAAAACACCCTATAGGGATACTCTGACTCCTCACATTCCTCAACAGTAAGAGATGGTGAGACGAATTCCAGCTGGCTGCATGGCCCACGTGGCAGTAGTGCTCCAGAGACGGCCCCAGTGATTTCTCCCCTTTGCGTAGGCTCAGGCTGTTCCTCACACCAACAGTGGACCTTGTTTTCCTCCCCTTGAATCTGGGGTTACTTTGCAATTCATTTCACCAACCGATGTGGTTGAAGGGGCCACAGTCTCCACAAGCACAGACTTTTGAGACTATGGCTTATGAGAACTAGAAGTTTTCACTTTTTCCCTGTTAGAACACTTGCTCTTGAGACACTCCAGGGGACCAGATGCTACAGTGTGCAGTGTCCACAGCACACAGAGAGGCCACGTAGGGAGACCAGAGGTTCCCCGACTTAGTCTTAGCTCAGCTTCTGACTAACAGATCTGGTCTGCCTGGCAATGTGAATAAGCCACCATGGATACCCCAGACCAAATAAGACTTCAGATGTTTGCAGCTCCAGGCAAAATTTACATACATCAAAGAGATTATATCTATTCAGGTCAGACATCCTATCACACATAATCATTAAAAATAATAAAATAAAATGACTACTCAGAGGCTGGGACAGGAGAAACACTATGAGTTTAAGGCCAACCTGGGCTACATAGCGAGTTCAAGGCCTGCCTTAACTACATAATCAGACCCTACCTCAAAAAACAGAGCCAAACAAACAAAAGAATAGTAACAAAATGATCGTTGCTTTCAGCCATGAAAGTTTGAGGTACTTTTATTACACAGCAAGAGAAGACAAAAGCATCTTCCCGTATCCAGGGAACATAGTAGGCTACTGCTAGGTCTTTCCCTGTTGTCTGTTCCATGTATCTGCACATAAATGACTGGTTCTCAACTGTCTTTGGGTGAGTGAGATCACATGACCAGGGCTTGCACTTACCAGTAAGGGTCACCGAAAAAGGGTCACCAAATACTACTGATATAACAGCTGCAGGATTTTGCTTTTGATTTATTTTTTCCTCATGAGGGATTACTTCTTATAGAAGATTAAGGCCATGCAACATAAGAAACCCAAATGACTAAATCTTAGATTTTGAAATCCCCCAAAAGATTGAAATAAATTAAACATGTTTTTATAATGAAAAAAAAAAAGCAACCAGTTACCAGTAGGTCTTCTGTCTCAATTCAAAGTTAGGAAGAATTCAGCTCCACAAGCAGGGGAAAATCACTGTCCAACCATCCAAGCCATATCTAGAGCTGTTTCCTCAGCCTTTCATGAGCGTGTAGCGACAAGCACATCTCTGCTCGGAGCACAGATTCTCAACACCTCAGCCTGTCTGATGGCAAAGGCTTTAAGACTGTGGCCTAAAGAGCTAACTAGGTGTCTCTGTTGTGCCCCTCAGAGTCTCACCTGAAAGGCATTTTTACACAGCAGCGACAGGCCTGTAAAGGGGTTGCACATGACCTGAACTCTGGATAAAAATTTCCTCTCTGCTACTTCTTAGAATGTTCAAGGTCTCTATGCCTCAGTTCTTTCATCTTTTAAATAGTGTGATATCTTCTCTTTCACAGGGATACTGTGAAGATTCAATGAAAATGAAAGAGTTTCATGTTAAACAAATAATTTCTACTATATCATTTTAATTCTGTTAATATTTTTACTACTTTTTTTTTATTTAGCACAGGGTCTACAGGGTCTCACTACACAGATTGGACTCATAGTGAGCCTCCTGTTTTCAGCCTCCCAAGTGCTGGGATTATAGGTGTGCGCCACCACTCCCTGTCTCATTTACCTTCTCAGAGTGCCCAGGGGGCTGGGCCGGCACAGCATGCAGAAGATCAAACCCCATTCCCTGTATCTGCGTACGCAGGTGCTTTAGTCTGCTGTGCTATCTGACCAGCCCCTTTTTTAACTACTTTTTTTTTTTTTTTTGTGGAACTGGGGATTGAACTCAGGCCCATGCACTTGTCAGGGAAGCACTTATTCTACTGAGGCATCTCCCCGGCCCTCCCCCCACTTTTATTTATTTATTTTTTGGGGTTTTTTTTTTTTACTACTTTTATTTTGTTAGCACTTATTTAAAAGAATATAAGGGCCAGACAAATAGCTCAGAGGATTAAAGCACCTGCAAGCAGGCGCAGGGGCCAGGGGTTTGATCCCCGGGCATGCCATGCCGCCCCCACCCCCAGGGCATGCCATTGCCAATGTTCTGATGAGTGGTTAGCTGTTAACTGTACTGCTGGGCCTGCCTGTAACAGGTCCTCATTCTTTCCTTACTTTCAAGATTTTTCCCTTTGTTAAAGTTTGACTTTCAGCAATTTCACTGCAATGTTTCCAGGTGTGAATCCTTTTATTCAACGCTATCTGAAATCCGGGAGTTCATCTTTCTAGTGATGTGCTCATTTCAATTATTGTACTGCCCAACTCCAATGGACTGCGCTTTCCATTTCACTTTCATTTTATAATTTCTGTCTTTAAACAGAAATTCATTAGTTGCATCATCATCATCATACTTTCCTTTAATTCTTTAAATGCAGTTCATATTTTGAACAAACTTACAATGACTTCTTTGAAGTTGCTGTCTGTTAGTTCCAACTTCTCAATCCCCCGAGAGCTCTGTTGTACATCTCAAATATTTTTGTGCAAAGATAGACACTCTAGATAACATATAGCAGTTCAGGATGCTGATTCCCCACTCCCCACTCCTGAAGTAGTGGTGGCTGTTTGTTGGCTTAGTAACTTTTCTACACTACTAGTTCTGCAGAATCCGTCTCCTCTGTGGTATATAGCCAATCACATTTATGCTAGTTTTGGTTTTCATGTGTAAGTCCAGTCTCCAGCGCATTTATAATAACTTAATAGTCAGCCAATGGCTGACCAGAAATTGTGCTCAGCCACCTTGGGCTACTATGTGTTCCATAGCCTTTGTCAGTGGATCTGTGTGTGGCTTGGGGAACACATTCAAAATTCAGAAGTTTCGAAGCCTCCCTTAACTCCTGCTTTCCACCAGGTCCTTTCACGTCTCCTCTATGGGTGTGCAAGAACTCATAGCCAGGAGTGCGTGAGCATCTTTTCTGGTCTTTCTCCAGTGTGCTTGCAACTTTCTGCATGTGCAAATCATTTTTATCCACCAGATAGCAAGGTGGGAGCTTACCAGATCTCACCATGCAGCTTCATCCCTCATACCCGTTTTAAGTTTCTGGCCAACTCACCAGTCTATTTCTAAATAGAACTGTAACCTCATACAGTGACACTGGCCTGGCCTGGCCCTTTGCCACCAAGATCACTACTATATTTGGTAATGCCTAGGCATGTGAGATTTCCCTACTCTCTTGAGTCAAATCAAGTCGGCTATCGTTTACACAGAAACAGCTAATTTTCACTAAAACTTCCTCAACAATGGAGTAGGAATTGGAGAACAAAAACAATCACAGACAAAAAGGCAGACTCCCACTATTCTTATTCAGTTCATTAGTTGTTCTTGAATAAACCCTACTTAATCTCTTCTATGCCTTTGATTGATTTCTAGGCATAAAACGGTGGTAACTATTGACAATTGCCCAATTTCACTATTGCTTCTTGGGGAGAGGATTTGCCAGGTTCTTCTTTTCTCTATTCTAAAAGTCCTGCTTCTACAATGGAATTTAAAGGTGATTAATTCTAATATTGCTACTGTCTGAGGAGGAAGATGCCCATGCTGCCAGTGGCCATTGGTTGCACTAGGGGGGGGTCTGCTAGTGAGTCACACCTCCCAGTTTGATGGACCTGTGACTTGCTTTCAATAGCAGAATGCCCCAGAGTCATCAGTGTGCCAGTTCTAGGTCTCAATACTAAAAATGCTGGGCAGCTCCATCTTTTAGGTTCTTGGGAGACTAAATTGTGCAACAAGAAGTTTAGTCACCCTGTGGAAAGAATACAAGGCAAGACCACGCAGAACGCAAGGGGCTCTAAGGCCATACAGAAGTAAGGAATGTAGGCATCATTGAGAAAGGAGGCCCCAGGAATTTGTCCCAGATGAGTCAGTGCCAGCTTAGGCCTCTGCATATACAAAGAAAGCGTCATCAGAAAAGGAAACCTCACTGATAGGCGGAGGTCTCGTCTTTCCTGGATTCCCAACTCCCAAAATCAGGAGGCACAATAAAAAATGGTGATCATTTTAAGTTAAATCAGAAGCAATGTAATCAATGGATAACCAAAATATTCAGGGGCTGGTGAAATGGCTCAGTGGTCTAAAGCACCTACTTAGAACAAGCTTGGCAGAGCACAGGGACCACGGTTCAATCCCCCAGCACCACATGCCAGCCAGCCGCGCCCTCTGGTGGGCTGAGCTGGCCACATACACACACACACACACACACACACACACACACACACACACACATAAATAAATGAATAAAATTTAAAAAAAAATATTCAGAAAATCTAACCACAGCCAACCTTTGGTTCCTCCTTCCAGCCCACACACATCTGTCAGGTTCAAGGGCCTTGAGGGTTGGGGGGGCTCACTCCTCCCTGCTCCTGTTGTGTTGTGTTCTGTGTATGCATCCCCTGCAGCTCAGACAAGCTGCACTTTGTACAATGCCCTCCTAAGCACTCAGCAAAAATAGGCCCTTAATAAAAGGTTTTATATTAACACTCACTGTTAACATGATCCTGAGTCACACCAGCTATTACAGTCCAGGAAAGAGAATGTTTTTCCCTTCTGAGTCACTGAATCATGCCGGCAGGATCCAAGCAACACATCCTCATCAGCATGACCTTCTCATGTTAAGGACCCTCGCTGATAAAGCCCACTGATGCTAGAAATCTATTTTCATCTATGGGTGCTCTCAATTCTGAGCTGTTTATCCATGGGTGCTCTCAAATGCTGAACACATACACTTTATTTTCTCCAAAGCCCAGACACCAAGGGCAGACTTCTACTCACATGGAAGGAGCTCAATGTCAACTGAATGAAGAGTCGTATAAGTTTGGAAAATCCTTGAACTTGGTCATCGGTGATGAAAGAGAAGAGGATCTCATGAACACCCAATAAAGGAATGAGGAGTAGTGTTGACTTTGCCAATCTGCAAATGACAATCACATGACAATCATGAGGACTGCATTGTGACTAGGCAACATTTTCTGTTCGTCTGTGCATGTCTTTTTTTGTGGCTCTTATCCTCATGATAAATAGTAGATTTTCCTATTGGTCTCCTGGACTATACATTCAAGGCTTAAGGGCCATTGTGATCTTATTTGTTGTCAAATCCCTACAAATAGTAAAGGCTCAGGAAGCATGAATGAATGAATGAATGAATGAATGAATGAATGAATGAATGAATGAATTCTCCCATATAGGTTAGCCTTATGTGCTCTACCTGATAAATAGATTTAGTGTTTTACCTGTTGAATAGATTTCCATGGATGAGACTATCACCCTATGATACTTCACCCTTCCCATGCCAGACAAGTTTCCTATTGGTGGGTTAGCAAGTGCCACTGTCACTTTCAGTACTTTCAATGTTAGCCTGAGAAGGAAAAGGAAATGAGTTACCCAGGGTCATGTGGACACTGAGTAGAAAATCCCAGCCCGGAAGTGGGACCTCTGAATGAATACCAGGCCCTGCGTACTCCATGCTGGGATTTGCCACTAGCCCTCTGGCTGCCCTTTAACCTGTGATAGCCAAGGGCTGCAGGAAATGAAAAGATGATCCTCCTTGTAAAATGCGTGGTGGGGAGGTTCCCTGTTGTATACACTCTACGTAAAAACACAAACTTTCCTCTGTACCGCCCACATGTAAAGTGCACAGCTGGAGTTCAAATGCTTCCAACTGGTGGATCCCAAGTATGGCTATTAAAATTCCTTATGAGCTTTTAAAATATATACAGTGGGCCCTCTGTACACCTAGGTTTCACATCCATGGATTCAGCCAACTATGGGTCAAAAATACATTGTTTTAAATTGTGCCTATATTGAACATGTACAGACTTTTCTTTAGCTTTTAAACAATGCAGCATTACAACTACTTACATAGCTTTATATTGTTTTAGGTATAAGAAATAATCTAGAAACAATTGAAGTCTACAAGAATATGTGTGTAGATTACATGCCAGTCCTGTGTCATTTTATATTTCTATATGAGCATCTGTGGGTTTTAGTATCTGAGGGAGGGGGGCCTAGAACACAGTACCCAGGACTCTGATGTCAACTCCCTGGATCCAAAGCTATTACTATTCAGTTGCTTCTTCATTTAAAACTAACTACATCAATAAAGGTGACTCTGTCAGGGTACAAACAAAGCTGCCATCTTAAATACACTTGTAAAAAGGAGCTTAATTGTAATACATTTTTAGCTCAAGTTGCTTCTCTTAAAGAGCCAGATTAGGGAGAAGTCCCTACCACCATGACCCCTCGACTATGTCCACCACCACCACCACCACCACCACCACCACCATCACCCCACCACCACCATCTCCACCACCACCTCATCCCCTGAAGGCAAAGATGTAGAAACCAAGAGTTCCCTCAATATTTCATAGGTTATTTTTTCAAAAAGTATGAACTCTGTCCAAGAGAAAGAGCTTACTAGAATCCTGTGTATAAAACCCATTCAAATGCAATGTCATCCATGAAGGAAAAACCCTCACTCTGTGGTCTGAAAGATGTAAAGCCAAGAAGAGGGAACAGAAGGGACAGACTCCACCTGGCCACATATGCCGTGTGTCCCAGAACCTTGAGCCTCAGGGAAGGACCACAGCAGGGAGATGAGGTGTACACCAAGTTCACATCTCCTCCCAACCCCAGCCTGACATAGGGAAGAGTCACTTAGCTAGGGAATAATAACATGCTTCTGAAGAAAGAATATGGCAAAGGCTTTCTTTTACTTCTTGATTTTCTTTTTATTGATGTTATAGATTGAACTCTGATGCATGCTAAGCATATGCTGAATCTACCACTAAAGCTACATTCCCAGCCCCCAAGGACATATTTTATTTCCAAGAGGGTTTTTAAACCTTCTGTTTCAGAGATTGCAACATGGTGATTATGAGTTGGATTTAAGCTGCAGTTTGGTTGAAGTTATATAGTGATTTTTGCTACTAGTGACATTTTAAATAGTGAGGAAATGTCACGCAAAGGTATTCAGAGTTTCAGCTTCTTTGGAAAATGGGATATATGGCAACACACGGCCAGCCCAAAACTACTAGTTGGCAGTCATTGGGCATAGCCAGGTGGCTTCTGGCCCCGACCCTCTACAGGAAACCTGGGATCTCCAGCTCATGCTGGGCCTGAGAGTTGTTTGCTTGGTCCTTGCAAATGTTTGAATCATGACCTTTGTTCTGGGTTTTACTGGAACATACTAACATGTTCACATGTGAGCCCTCTCTTAGCATCAAATTGTCCTGGGGCCATGCTATGGTAGTAGAGATTTTTTAAATAAATTTCTTATGTTGGAATAATTTTGTATTTACAGAAAAGTAGCAAAGGTTGTGCAGAGGATCTCTAGACACCCTTTCCTCAGTTTTCTCTAATGCTAGCGTGTTACACGAAGGTAGCACATTCATCAAAATCAGGAAGCCAACACTGATTGAAACACTGCTAGTAACTAAATGCCAGATTTTATTTGAATTTTACCTATTTTTCAACTTTTCATAGTCCAGGGCCCCAGATTTCTAGTATTGGATGGTTGTTTTTAAATAATAAAACATCTTTTTATAAAGTTTTGTGTCACTTTAGTCACTACCACTCCTCTGGCAGCAAAAGATTCTCCACTACTTCTCTTCTTGTAACTTCTCCTTGGACTGAAGTACTATTTGTGTCCCAGTACAGATGAAAAGCCATAAATAGCCAGAGCGATTTACTCTTATGGACTGTGTGTACACTGAATTTTCACCCACAGCCTTTTGTTTATTTAAATGGTACAGTTTATGGTAGTTATTTGACTCTTCAACGAATGTTTACTAAGCATTTGCTCTGGGTATATGAGCGAGTACAGGGGAGGGGAAGGACTGCAGCCAAGGGCAGCAGAGTGCTGGGACCAGGTCTTGGGGCTGGGTTCAAATGCAGCCAGTGCCAGCTGTTACTAGGAGGTGACCTTGGGCACATTATTTAAGCTCTCTCTTGGTCAGTTTCCTCATCTGTTGAAAGAGGACAAAATTAATAATAGCATTTACACGGCAGGATCATTGTAAGCATGGAACAAACCACATGGGGTGAACCCTCAGGACAGAGATTGCCTCATGCATGGTCCATGGTCCATACGTGTAGATTATCACTATTTTTGAAGAATCTGAACGTGCCAACTTGCTACCTTCTCCCCAGTTATTACCATTATAACACATCTCTTTTAGCCAATCATTCTTTATCAAATCTAGCCTCAAAATGTACCAGTCTGACTGTTTCTCCGAGGTCTTCATTGCCTTATAAAGATTCCTGAGTTGTATAGAGCTTCTAAATAGACCCATACGTTTTTTGCTCTAGTTAATCTGTTTTTATTGATTTGTTTTTAGGCCCAGCCAAAGCCCTAAGAAGTTCAAACAAAACATTTTTGCCCCTCCGTTGCCCACCAGAGATCTTTTCAGAAAAGTCTGTGAGGTTTAGCATGCTAAGAAATGATTCTCCTTTATAAATTCATTATGAGGTTAGTCTTCACATACCACATGGGAAGCTAAACTCATTTATTTAGGGGAAGAAAGCCACTCCCTACTGGGAACCAAAAAGAACAGAGAACTCCAAGGGATCTGGAGGTCAGCTGGTTCCCGCCTGAGTTCCAAGGTCGCTGCTTGCCCCATTGACAGCTCTGAAGCTCCTCTTTTGTGCAAGGCTAGTTTCCCTTCCAAGGCAGGTCAATGGGCTGTTCACTGTGTCCTTTGCATTATGGTAGATGCCCAGGGATGCGGGCTAAGAACCCAGAAGATTCTCCAGCTCCTAGAAGCTTGCTTCCTTAGAAGGCCTAAATGTGTTTAATTTAAACTTTCCTAAAATATACTCCTGGAGTGGGGCCAGACCTTCTTGACAATTACTTTCTGAAAATTCTCAAAATCTCAGAGTTGGAGGCAGCCAGTGTCTGCTGGAGTTTGGATGACAGATACTGGGCTCCATAGTCCTCTCTCCCTTCCCCCACAAAGGGCTACCAGGGAGAGTGAACATGAAGGAGGGACGTGGGACAGGGGCCACCTCCCAAAGTGGAGCTGGGCCCTGTGGAATCAGCATGCTGATGACCCCTCAGGGGCTACAGATGTGCTCTGGAACACGGTAGTGATGAATTTGAGCTGCCTCTCAGGAGCAAAGTGACAAATGAGATCTCAGAGGCTGTAAGATTCTCCACCTTGGGAAGTAGGATAAAGTGGCTGGGGCTTCCCGAGAGACAAATCCTGACTTCTTGCTAATCAGTAAGCATAAGCTAATGAACTGTATTAACACAGAGAAAATGAGTACATAAGCAGAAAAGAAATGGCCGGGTAATAGGCGCCAGGAGCCCGGAGAGGGAGGACATTCCTGATGTTCATCCCACCCCGCTCAGTGGAGGGTGGACTGTCCAAGGAACGAGTCGCCTTCTCAGGGAAGGGGTGCTGTGGCCAACGGTGGCTTCTCCGGAGTCCTGCACCTCCAACCTTGCCACACTGACTGTGTGCCCATCAGTCAGCATCTGGTGATTCCCAGATCCTCTAAGCTCAGCGGCAGGAAACACCATGAAGCTTGGGGTGCTAGGATGCCTACCTCACCCCTACTTCCAAAGACATTAAGAATAAGCAATGGTCTGCCTCACAGACATTAGCTTCATCTTGTAAGTTTGGGGGTCCTCAGTCAGTCACATGGGACTGAGGCAGGTCTGCCATGCAGCCTGCAGACAGTTGCAAGCTTGCCAAGGTGGGGCCTCTCAGGGCGAAGCCTTGGGGCAGGCACACACCCAAGTTCCTCTTTTCACACACCCTTTGCCAGGGTGGGGCTAGGAGAAAGAAGTCTCCAGGCAGATCGCATATGTCGGGAAGGCTTGCGTCTCCACTCTGCAAGCATCTGTCCTGGGCCTTCACTCAGCCTCGAGGGTCTCTCCAGGTCTTTACTTACCATTCTCCCAGATGATGGCCCCCAGGTGGGTATGCACCCTTCAGGGCTGTGCAAACCAATTGTTTAATAATGGGAGAAAATATAATCATAGAGGATAAGAGGAGCATTATGTATATTAACTTTATCTTTTATTTCCCATTTGTGCTTTCTCTCATTCTAATGAGTAATTAGTTCATTATTAGACTGCATATATATGATGAGGAACAGGCTCAAAATTTCTTTACTGTCAAGATACTAAGATCAGAAAATCTTAGAAGCTGTTTTCTTGGATGACTATAGAAGGGACCCTGGAAAAGAGGAAATGAGGCTGTGTAGAAACACATCCACCATGGCTCAAGCAGAAAATTCCATGTGCTGTATATCACTAGAGCACCTGATGGGGGAGGTCTGTAAGAAGTTCACGTGGTGGGGTTCTGTCTCAGTTACTCTTCTCTTGTTGCTGAGGCAAAAATACCTGACAGTCAAAGTTAAAGGGAGAAAGGTTTATTTAGCTCATAGTTTATAGAGGTTTCAGTCCATAATCTAGAGGCTCCAAGGTAGAGGGGTACCTGGCAGCGGGCAACTGTTCATGGTGAGGAAAGACAGCAAAAACAACAAGCAAGAGCAAATGCGGGAGGGAGAGAAAAAGCCTATTTCTGGCTCTTTTGTTTTAGACAGACTTCTTGAATTAGGGTAGTGCCAATCCAATCCGTGGGCTGATTGGCAATCACCTGGCCCTAATCCCAGCGCTCTTAATCTCAGCATTGCACTACAAATCAATCATGTGCTCTAGATTCAGCTACCTCCAAAAAAGCCTGCCCAACCCCCATGACTACATGAGGCTTTGGGGGGACATCTAGACACACACCATAACAGGTTCCATCTCATACTTCTTGAGTCAGAATACCCATTAGTGGGGCTCACACAGTTGTGCTTTGAGTGAGTTTATAAGTAGACAGGGTGGAAAACTACTGTGGGGATCACTAAAGGTCCAGAACGTGGGTAAGATCCCAGGGGGACACAGTGGGCTCCGAGGGCACAAAGCAACAGGGACTAGGCTCAGAGTCACTTGCAACTCATCTGCTTCCAGATTCTGTCTTGTGTATTACCTCTGTCTGTTTCGGGGAAGCCCCGTCTGCCTCTGTATCTGGTTATTGAGAGGACCTCTCTCCCTGAATAGACCCAACAGCTCTCAGTGCTCCACCTTCAGAGGCATTAGGGAGGCTGAGCCATGGGAAAGGAGCCAAAGAGGCTGCTTGGCCACTTGGAGGCCTGGCTGGAGGCGCCAGGAGAGACAGAATGACTCTCAGAGGATTGGGCCAGGCCACTTCCCCAGGGATAGGGGTGTCTGCAGAGTGTCTGGGCCAAAGCCCTAATGAGCAGCTGTAGTATATCTTTGCCCATTCCTGAACCCACTATGTTTACCCTTCTAGACCTCCTGGGGGGAAGAGTTGGGGGAGAAAGGATTGGGGTCTGAATACTGAACAAATGCTTCTCCCCACATCTGACTAGATTGGGCCACCCATATCCACAACCTCCTTGAATCATCATAACAAGCAGGAGATTGTTCTGCCCCTACATTCCCATTTTATGCACCAGAAAAAAGCCAACAGGCCAAGCCACTTCCCTAAGGTCTGGGGGTGTGACCAGCCCCTCCTCTCCTGTCTTGTACTCCACGCCAATATCTTGATCCTTAGTAAAGCAGCAGACATGTACCTCAAAGGCTGGGTGCACAGTGCATTTGCCTGTTGTCCCAAGCACAGTGCCAGGGATTTTGGAAGCATTCCTTATTTGTCTGGTATTTGTTGCAGTCCCTTGAATAGCCTTCAAAAGAGTGAGAAGCAAGGACAAAGCTGCCTTTACTCACACCCTCCTCCTCTGGACAGAGGAATTATTCAAGTAATTCCCTATTCAGTTAAAACACTCCCTCCACAGTAGCCCTGCTGAAATGCACCTGCCACCTGGAAAGTAAAGAATAACTAGGAGAAGAGGGAAGACGCCCTCTCCCTCTCATTCATGTGCTCATACTTAATTTAACAGCAATGCAGATCTCAAATAGCGGCCTGCTTTATGACCAACAAGGGCTGCTGTCACCACAGAGAGCAGAAGGCAAATCACAAAGAAAAGTGACTGTGTGTGGAGTGCATTTCCTTAGACTCTAGAAACTGTTGGCTTGATTTGCAAAGGTCTCAAATGTACTCATATACTCTTTTCTGAGTTACAAATACATCTTTCATTCTGTTGCCTCAAATACTTCCCCAAGGAAGGTAACTACCCAGGCTGTTCTTTGCCTATATATCACTCATTTTTAGTGACCCTGCAACAGTCCCCCTCTGAGGGAATGAGCATGCTCTTCACTATTTACCACTTGCTTCATTTTTATGAGCTCAGTAGGCATTTGTCATTGGCAATAACAACTTTTTTCAGAAAACCTTGGGAGACAAATATAACAAACAAGCTTGTTCTCTTCTTCCCATCAGTAAAAACTGCAAATAACCTCGGCATTCTGAACACAGATCTCAGGCCACTCACCTGTATTTATAATCTCTGAAGCACATTTGATGGGCTTTGAGCTTAGAAATGAGAAGCTTGAGAATTTTCAGGAAGATGAAGAAATTGACCTTGAGGAAAACAAAGCAGATGTGGGTAAGTAAGAGATGGACTCCATGTTGCTGTGAATGTCGAAGTCTCCCGGGGCTTGGCCGTTGGCTCTTCTCCATGTGAACCTGGGGCAACTTGGCAGCTAGCTGGTCACACAGGAAGTGCTTATAGAAATCTCTACGGTTCTCAAGGCCATGCCATCTGCAAATATGGAAGGGACCTTGGCTCATCATTCAGGGAAGGGTAGGGAAGGGAAGAAAAGGGAAGGAAAGGGATGGCATCCTCAAGGATGTCATGGCCCTAAACCCATCTGAGAAAGATTCGGAGAGGGAGAAAGACAGAAACAGTCGCTTTTCAGTGAAGAGAATGGTGGAGGCAGTATGGACAGTGAAGGAGACAAAGAAAGAACAGTTAGGGAAGCTGCAATAAGCCACATGAAAGTGACAACCTAGGAACCCAAGAAAGGAAGAAGTGCAAGAAAGTTTAAAGGCTACATAGAATTCAGGCAAAACATGACTTCATAGAGCAACAAAGTGCTAAAAGAAGCTTCAGGGCAGAGAAAGGGTAAGTCAAGTTGCAGTACCTTGTATTTTGAACAAAATCTAAAGAACAGAGAGAGAGAGAGAGAGAGAGAGAGAGAGAGAGAGAAGTGGTTAAAATGCTCATGGGGGAGGTAAGCAGAGGGATAGAGCAGTAGTGGACAGGGGGTACCGAATGCAGATAATGCTCTCCCTTCTGCAGGGCTGGATGAGGACTGGAGTGGTAGCTGTTCTTTAAAATTGGAAAGACTTGATGATGCCCCTGTGCCTTGGAACAGGGGCCAACGGAAAGGGCCATCAGGTGACAATGAGATAAAGGCTACTGACACTGGTCCAGCACAGTACTAATGTCCCTATCTAGAAGCAATAGTCCTTTAGCTACACACGAGCCATAGGACCCAGTGTGCACCTGTTATTACTTGCTTTATTGGCCTTGAGGGCACTAATGTTCTATGCTAAAAAGCTAGAGTTTCAGGCAAGGGGCTATTTATCTAATCAGCGTGCCCACAGGAATGATGGAGGTTCTCTGCCAAAGGATATTTAGTAACAGAAAATTTAAATACAAACTACATGTAACCAAGCAATATATCCCCTTTAATGGGGTATCTGCTTTTCATCATAAAGAGAAAACTCTGTGCCTGGCTTAGTGATTTGTTGAACACAGGCATTTTTTTTCCTCACAAAGCAAGCTTAACTGGAGAAAGGCACATATTTCAGCAAATTAGATTCAATAAGGACTGTTCATTCCAACCCTTCCTAGGAAAGGAAGGGTTGGAATGAACAGCTTGTGGGTTATCTGTTCTTTCTGTCTCCAAGAGACTGTACAAGAGAAAACAGGCATTGACTAGTGGATCATGTAAGGCTCCCTCCTGGGTCCTGGACACCACAGCTGGTTTTTCAGCTGTTGCACACCTTTCCCCGCCTCCAGCATCTGCCCACAAGGCCTATACTTGGCAGAGGTGGTTGCTAGCATGGCAGGCACTCAGAGGAAATCCTCATGTACCCCTTAGCTCTACCACCCCACCCCGAGTCCTACTGCCATGACCTAATATGTGGACTGAAATGCCTACCTTTAGAACTTCTCCTTTTGGAGAAAACAGCCTTTCTCCAACAGCCCTGCTGAAGTGTTTGTGTCCCATAGAAGGCAAGGAATGATGGGGGACAGGACAAAACGAACCCTTCTCTTATTCATTTATTGATTATTTTTTAAAAAATAAATAAATTTTGATGAATAAACACATATCTGTTTATTTTTACCATGGAAAATTGATGACAGGATGCAGAAAAGGTAAGTTTTAATGGAGGTAGGACAACACAGTGCTTAGGGAGAGTCCTGCTGTAACTGTCTAGAAGAGGAGAGTATGAGAATGGGAAAACATCTGAAAAACCTGAAGCACAGACAGCCCCCGGGACCCCAGTAGACCAAAGGACCCAGCGAGGTATAAGGTCAATAAAGACTCATTTTGCCCATCCCTCAGTTTTGCGAAGTTCTTAGACTATTATGAAAGAATCAGGGAGGATGAATGACAGTTTTGACTCTGACTTCACAAGGCTAATGCACAGTTCATTCAATTTTGGATTCCAAAAAGCCTTTGATTGGATATCCAGTGAGGTCAGGATAAGGATTAACTGCAGGATATGGATAGAAGGACCTTGTACACTATAATCATTTCTAAGGCTGGAGCAAAGCAAAGCTTTATCGATTGCCTAAAGGGATTAAGGAGGCTAAGACAAACGAATATACTGTGCTCCAATGTGTCTCAACTCTAAATATATAATGGGTTAATTTAAGTATTGAATTACTATATAATGTGTTATAGAAAGGAAGAGCTAAGAAGTCTCCAACTTCTGTGTCTGGTTAAAGACCCAAAGAATATTGAGATTCTTCAGGTTGTCACCTTATGAGCACTTTCAAAACAGGAAAGCTTGCACCAACAGAGCAGCAGATGAATTCTGCTAACACATCTGGACATCCACCACGATGTTCATTCACTCCAATCCGAACGCTGACTAGCACATGCCGAGCTGAGGTAGAGGGCACCTGTGATGCTGGGACGCTCACCATGTAGCCTACATCTGTAGTGGGAGACACTGTCTACACACCCTGTACGCCGTGCACAGCTGGCTTTTCCCAAGAAGCCTCTGATTGATACTTCAGAAAATAAGGGCCAGGATCAAAGGTAAGAAAATTGTTAAGTACCCTGAAATGCCAAGTACTACCAGCTCAATCTCAATTATTATATTATTTTTTTGATATTTTAGTTTAAATAGAACATGTGTGAGTGTCAAAGAATATTTTTTTCTTAATACAACAATCTATTTTTTTCTGTCTTTTCTTTTTTCTTTTTTTGTATTTAGTACAGGGTCTACAGGGTCTCACTACACAGATCAGACTCTGGTCCTCCTGTTTTCGGCCTCCCAAGTGCTGAGATTACAGGTGCACACCACCATGCCCTGTCTCAGTTGCCTGCATGGCACTCTGGGGATCTGCATCTGCTTAAGCAGGTGTTTTAGTCTTTTGAGCTATCTGGGTGACCTCAATTTATTTTTTTCTTATATTGTAATCTAGCACACTATGGAAATGCTGAGCCATGCAATCATTGAGGGACTCAGGCTCCAAAAGGAATGCTCTTTTGGAGTTGGGGTTATGCCTACTCAGATCATTGGGAATGGTTGTATGAGGTCATATGACCAAGCATGATGGCAGATGTGATTCAGTCTGATGAGTCTCATTATTGAATTCTAAATCCCTAAAGAGAAAACCATGAAAGAACCTAACACCAAGCCAGTATAGAGAAGGTGCTTAAAGAATGTTATAGGGAGAAGATGGGTAACTGAGAGTCCAGGGCTGAGAAAGTTCTACCTGGCAGGAGGTTTGATCCCATCAGCCTAGGCTGGGTATTTTGAAGCCTTCCCAGGTTGTTCCAATGCACAGCCACTGTCTAGCCCAGAGTTTCTCTACTACTAACATTTAGAACAGGACAATTAGTCGTTCTGGGGGGCCATCCTGTGTACTGCTGGATACTGCATTGAATTCCTGGCCTATACCCTCTAGATGCTAGTAGCAACACCCCTGTGCAATTTGTGACAATTAAAAATTACTCTAGGGCCGGGGAGATAGCTCAGTAGAATAAATGCTTGCCTGGCAAGCACAGGGTCCTGAGTTCAATCCCTGGTACCACAAAAA